TTTGGCAGGTTGGGAAACCATACTAGTTCCTGAACAGCTAATTCATGCTGACTTTTTTTCCTGCCTAATTGAAAGAATAAAAAAGTAAGTATCACCTATATCCCAGATCAGTCAGTTTATGAATACAGAGGATGACGATACCAAGAAAACCATGAACAGAGTCAAGTTTCTTTATGTACAGTAAGAATTCTAGATGGAAATACAAAAAACATACTTGCTACTGCATAGGAAATGGCAAGTATAATTTGCAATATTATACATGCATATAGAATACATTTTTAAAAAATAAGAAGGCCAACCTTGGAAGGCAAGTCCACGCCAGCTATGTGATGCCCTGCCCCTATCATCTAATGAGTAGTAATTGGGAAGGTACTCCAGATTTGGGGACATTGGGTGGCATGATGTGGTAGCTGCATTTATCTCTCAAACTCTAAGCAAATTTGGTAGACAGGAACTCAAAAAAGGGTCATTGCTCTAAAACCATTCTCATTTTGAAAATGCTTCTCACCTTTTACTGTCAAATGGACAGTAAAAAACACTGATTCCATGTAGTCTTCAATGGTCCTTAATTGTGAAATTTAAAGTTCAGCTGTCTGGCTTTATCATCTCTCACTTTAATATTGTCATTATCCTTGCATATTGGAACAAGTTAAACCAAATTTAAGCAATGTTACTTAAATTGACATTTAAGTTTAAAATTAAGAACTTTATTTCTCATCTCTTTCTCGGAAAAAAAGTGCATTTTCCATAAAATTTTTCCATAGACATTAATGGACATAAATATACTTAATTTTGGATGGCTGTAGCTTTGACAGACTTTGTTATTTTTTTTCCCCTCAATTTTTATGAAATAGTAAACCCTAAAATGCATACACGTACTGGCCATCTGATCACTTTAATAAATTCATTACTAAAAAATAAAGTTATGCCCTGTAGTATATTACTAATTAGGACCTGGTATTAATTTTAGGGGGTTTCCCCTGGCCCCTTGTATTCAATATTTACACTGATTTCTCTAATTGGAACCAACTGATCTTTTTCCTGTATATTTATTTTCTAAAGCCTAGCAGTTAACAATGACTCTAATATAAGTGAGGGGTTTTTTGCTTGTAGCTTTTGTTTGAGCTTTAATTAAGAAGACCCAGTGTCTCCAAGCCTGAACTGTGTTTTTAATTGCTCATATGTATATCATGTAGACTTCAAAAGAAATAAAAGACATTTATAACACAGAGCACAAAAGGAAGCTTTGAAATGTCTACAACCATACAAAGTGGCATAATTAAAAACCTATGGGTGCTTCTGTGATATATATGCAAGATATATATTTATAAAGTAAGCTATTGTATACACTCATGACATGCCAAAAGGGGTTTTAGCACTGTTAAAGAAATAATCTCAACACATCTCAAATAAACTGCAAAGCAAACTAACACAGTGACCTTCTTTTATGCAGTGATCCTGTGTATTCTGTTATCGTAGATTTCAAATTTCTGACAGCTTACCGTATTTTCCACTTTTGAATTCTTAATTCAACCATAATTATTCCTCTTCTGAAAACAAGAGGTAGCACTTGTAACCACAACATAGCACAACAACTTTCCCAGGGTGGTCCCAACACTATTCCAGAAAAGCATCACAACTAAAATATGCATGCCATTATATTTCATGGCTCTCTTTCTCCTAGCTCCTAAAAGGAGAAAGTGCTATTTCTATCAGCATGAAATTCAATACAGATTGTGGAATATTCTTTGCCTACATTGTAGATGGAATCTCTTACAGAGCTGATCTTCTCTGCCAAGCTTTTAAAGTCTAGAAACCTGCATAAACCTTCCTGTTTGCTAACTATTACTATACCACTGAAATTACAAGTAATCCACATAACAACCACCACACTGGTTTTATTTGAAAATATCTCCTTATGTGAAGTCATTTAAAACCCAGGGAGAAATGTAAAAAAGTATGCAAGTCAGAGCACTACACAATGCAAATGCCTTTCTGCAGTAGGCAAAGCTATTCACATCAGTCAATGTCTATCCCAAAATAGAACATGCTATACAAAGACCGCATGTGACATTTAAGCCACAATGCCTATAAATACAGTTTATGTTTCAGTAGTAAGCTCCTTCAGAAATGGACGCTAGAACACTTTACTCAGAGATTGTACTCAGAATCCATCCTTCTGTTAGATTGCTAGAACCATCATAACTTCTTTATTTGATCTTAAAGGAGCTTGCATGCTGATTAAAATAAAAACATGACAGGGTATGTCATAGGAATAATAATTATGGTGTTTGCAGGCCTTGAGTAGATAAGAAATTTATGTTAACATGTAAAACAGAAATTATAAAATGAACTGTTAATGGGGATGAATGAGAATATTCTTTTTATTAAGTAATGGGAAAGGAAAATTTAGATAGTATGAAATGGGGGGAGAGAGAAATAAGAGGTTCCAATAGAAGAGAATATGAGGTACTTAAAGGGGAAATATAGAGAAATAAGAGAAGAAATAAGAGGAGAACTTAAAGGGGAAAAAACTCAACTGGACAGTGCAGTGTGTTTGTTTCTTCAGAAGGATGTTAGAAAAGGATTGGAAGATATTAGGGTTCATCTTCAAAACAAAGTTCTGGATCATACATTGGTTTTGAGAACAATTCCAATTAGCACTTCAGGAAGAACCTTTAGGGGCCAAGAGGCTAAGGCCAAGAAATTTGCATCCTTACAGAATGCACCCTTCCTCAAATGTCTTCCTATAAAACTTCCTAAAAAGCTATTAACCTTCCAAATTGCCATCTAAATGGATTAGACTGGGACTACAGCAATATATGTTTCTTGTAAGAAGCAGTAGGCACTCCTACACTGGCCACTGGTACATATGCCCCAAATACTCCATCCTCTATATAGATGGCCAATATTCTAAATAACCAGAAGAATCCACTGTCCCCTGAAATACAGGTAGTCCCAGGGTTAAGAATGCCCGGGTTACAGATGACCCATAGTTAAGAACGGAGCCTACTGTCGCAAAATTCGAGTTAAATATACAATGATTCGAATTAAATACACAATGGTTCGAGTTCATTTCACAATACTACTTATATAATATTATATAATAATAGTGTTCCAGCTTACATGCAAATTTGACTTAAGGATTTTGTTCTTAAATTGGGGACTACCTGTAACCCTAGGAATGCATTAGACCAGTAGTAACTGCTCTTTAGAAAACAGTAGAGGTCCATTATTAATCATGGTATACTGAGGAAGGATCCCCTTCACTGCAACAACTATTTATTCTGAATGAACCAACATTTTTTTTCTCAAGAACCTTTCTAGGGTTTAGCTGTTCAGAGGTATAATCCCCTGAGAACTTCTCCTGCCTAAAAGATGCATACAAACAAAACAAACAAGCTAGAAAACAGATTTTTATTCATTTTTTATTTATTTTATTTATCTGTCAAATTTATATGACCACCCATCTCACCCAAAGCGACTCTGGGCAGCGTACAATAAAGCCTACTATTAGAACATTCTACAAAACCAATTAAAAGCAATAAACATGGATAAAACAAGACCACGAGAAGGAAGGTATTAAATATAATGCAGCCTTTACATTGGAATGTGTACTGGAGAATTATCTACGTGCCATAGAATCAACTTGGAAAGCTTTAAAAGGATATTAATTTATGGAAAATAGGGATATCAATGGCTATCAGTTATAATGGCTATATACTGCCTCCATCACTGAGGTATTAGTTGCAAGGGAACATGACAGAGTGTTCTTGCACTTACACACTGGTTTTGTGCTTCCTATGGACATTTGGCTGCCAACAGTGGGCACAAAATGTAGGGTTAGAATAAGCCTTTGGCTTGATCCAGCATAGGTCTTCCTATAAAATAACTGCAAACAGACTAATTGTCCATGGAGAGGGGAAGCAATTTTTTAAGGTGTCTTATCAAAGAAGATAAATGGACACATATTACAAAATCTAATCTTAAAAGCATGTCTGTTTTGCAACATTTACCTTCTACTCTATATGTTGTACTGTTCCAACATGTGTGATACTGGCAGAAAAGAACATGATTGACTTCCCCTCCTCCCCCCCCCCTCGCCCCCCCCCCCCCCCC